ATTTCTATCTTCTTGACCGATATTTGGATTGATATTTTACGAATGAATTATCAAACCAATCGTTAAAGAGGACTATCGCAACGCAGGCGATGTTCTGCAGCATAACGCGCATAATTAAAATTCTAAAGTTAGACAAATTAAACGGAGATAATTAAGGAAACACGTATATGCAAAATCGCGTTCCGCAATTCCGCGGTCAACAAAGATTTACCGTATTAAAAAATTTAATACAGTTACAATTTTGTAAAAATTATTAATTTGACAAATTTAAAATATTTGAAATTTCGGTCAAACTGATTTCAGTTTTTAAAATTTAGTTGAAAGTAACGGGAAACGAAAAAATTATACAAGTGAAAAATTCTTAGAACAGAGTAAAACAAAATGATGCTCGGATTTGGCATCCTTATCATTTTTAACTTTGAAATCATCACCATACAATCCAGATATTTAAATTTAGGTATACTTCCAAAATTTTTTAATAAAACTTATTAAAATAAGTTTATAAATGCTTTCCGAAAAATTTATATTTTTTTAATAAATCAGAAAAAAAATGTCCAATGTTATTTCGGTTAACCTGAATTTTAGTTTCTGAAAGGTAAGTTTATTTTAAAACTTATCATTAAATATATACCAAATTTACTTGATATTGCAGAACTAAAAGTTTTAGTGCTAATTTGGATATAAATAAATAAAAAGGAAAATAAATAAATTTAAAAATAAAAGACAAAATACAATAAACAAATAAAACTGCTGAGTCGATTTGTTTACAGTTTGGCATAACTGCATTGAATCGAACAGTGGAACAAAATTGGCATTCAGGAAAAGAGCTCATTTTGTGTCAGAATAATTAAAAGAGTGCCTAAGTTGTACTTCCAAGCCATGAAAAACGTAAGTGAAATTCTGCCGATCAGTCAAATACAGCAGGGTACCTCCACCATTCCCCCTCCTCATTGTATATACATCTGTTGGATGTCCAGAGACAGTAATGTTTTAAATAACAGGATAAAATTTCACATAGTAATATATCCACAACCTTAGAAATTTTTCATATTTAATATCTACAGGCCAGATTTAAAGTACATTCTAGGAAAATGAAGTAGCGAACAATTTTAATGGCTTATTTCATTATGGCATCATGTACTTTGATCAGCATTACATAAAACTTGGATACTTATTTTATGGATGCACAGTAACAGGCTCTTTGCATGATGAAGTAAAATCCTTCACAAAAATTCCAAAAGAAATTATTACTATTTTTGAGATCTTCCATGCAAAAAATTTCAGGTAGTAAGAGCTCGAGCTAATAAAGAAAGTATTGGAGTGAAATATGGAATACAGTATATATGATATAATATGTTATTTATTATATGTATTAAAGTGTATGTAATTCAGAGGCATAGCTAGAAAGGGGCACAGCATCCAGTGGGGCACCAAACTGATGTTACGGAATTTTAGAATTAAATGTTTTTCATTCCTGGCAAACAGGAAGGGGTGCATAATTTTCAGTTGTCCCTGGGCACTGGAAACCTTAGCTACGACTCTGACACAATTAAAACAAGGAGTTCTTTTTATTAGTGTACTTCATTAACTATATTACTGGGAAATAAAATTACATCTGTAACGTTAAAATTGGTACACAACTTCTTTTTTCGTGCTGAAATTAGGTTAATTAATTAATTTCAGTCACTTTGCCAGAGCCCAATAAAACAGCCATACTTAATATAACATTGTAGAAATTCTTTATTTCTGATGGATTTATTTCACATTAATTTTTCACATATATATAATTCTATGAAGCAGATTTTTTGATAGCTAATTTTAAATTCAAATTAAACTATTTAAAGAAATAAAAGAAATCTATATTTCAAAAAGAGATTCCATTAAGAATCAATTCTAAAAAGAATCAGTATGAAACTCAAGTTTGAAACCCTGTTTTATGTGTAGTAGAACGAGTTAATATACAGTTCCTTTATCATAATCAAAACTGATGATTAGGTTCCTGGAAAATGATGTTACGAAGAATGTTACTGACCGTAGTAATGCTATTAGAGACAAGATTAAAAAAAGCAATCTGAATTTGAGTTCACTTCAGGATTGAGTTACACATGAAAGTTGTGTAACAATTGTAACACATGCAGTAAAAATCTGAAATTTTGATCATTAGCACTATATTTTTATCTGTAATACTCAAATTTAATTGATTTTGATGTGATATTTTATTCCCAATATTAAACAGAATTTACTGAACACTATCATCAATGGAATTATATGATTCTGGCTGTCCCAAGATTGCATTTTGTAAATTTCCTTAATATATATATATGTTACGGTGAAGCACCGAAATCTGGGGAATGTCGACTTTCACCGGTGAATATCAGCATTCACATAGTCGCTTGGTGTATGTCCGAAATATTTTCCAAATATTCTTATATTTGAATTTACTTACACCGGTAAATGTCGACATTCACCATGTACTAATGGTGAATGTTGAAGATATAAGAATATTATATTTTCTTCTCCATAATTCAGTACACAAAAAACGCACTTGAGACTTAAAATAAGAACTTAAGAACATGAGAACCTAAAACACACAATACATTCAAAATGAGAAAGAAAATAATAAAGTTAAAACTTACTTAATTATACAGTACGTTCTAAAGAAAATAAAATAACAGTAAAAAACTTACTCAATTATGTGATTCAAATCTATTTAGTAACAACTTAAACTATTATGGCACTTATAACTCTTTTCAATTCACCAGAGCAATCTGATGTCGACATACCCGGTGAGGGTCCGAATATACAAGAATGTAGTGCAATATTCGATCTTTCACCGATGTATTTGGTGAATGTTGACATTCTCCAGTGAAAGTCAACATTCTCCAATTTCGGTCTTTCACAATAACATATGTATCTTTTAGATGTAACAGAACTTTTGAAAAAACAAAAATCAAGCACTAAAACAACTTGGATTAGGTAAATAATATAAATTAAGAAAATGAACCACTACTCACCATGATAGCATTTTTAAAATAAATTTAGATTAATTCAAAATTACAGTTAAACTAACCGAAAAAAATACCACCTTCAATATCACTGCTCTAATGCATCAAAGCATGAAAATGGTTAACAGCCATTCCTGAATGAAAATTCAGAAGTTTATTTTAGACAAGCAATTTAAAAAAGAAAAGCATATCTTTAATGCATGCACATGCTAAAATGGTAGCGGCCAACTTCTCTACTTATAAAAATAAAAATAATATATATATTTTTGCCATGGGTCACACATTTTGCTTAGCCAATATTTTACAAGTATATTAATAAAAAAACATGACAGCAAGATAATTAAAAAGCCATGCTGATCTTTTACCCAATTCTGAAACAAGATAGCAATGATACTTTATTTCAAATATGCTATTCAAATTTCTAACTTAAATAGCATGTATAAATAAATATAATTAGAAATTATCATTACAGTTAACAGATAGTAGGAGAAATGATCATCTACAGACCTGCAAGATATTCATCTTCATTACTGACTTTGCAGACAAAACAATAAAGAGACAAATATTCACATTGAAATATTTCATGCCCATGAATTGCACAGCATCAAAGTAAAATATTTAAAACCTTGATCTTATAAATGTAACACAAGTTAATGAGCATGCAGGTTAAAGAAACGCTCATGTAATGTATTAATTTAACCTTGGTCTATGAAACAGTTATATGTATACTGACTGTATGCCAGAAAAAAATAAAATATTAATGTATCATCAATGAATAAAATATTTTTAACCTTGCCATAGTCTACATGTAGCCACCTAATAAAACATAATGATGCAAGATAAGAAGAAACATAAAAAGTGTATAAAATTTTTATAAACATTAAAAATGTATACTTTTATCACAATTGTTTAACTATCACTCAAGTATTTTGTTTTTTGTATGTTTTAGTATTTGTGTTTGAAGATAAAAAATTGCCTCTTTTGAGTTCATTTTATAAATATCATACATAAAAACTTGGTACTCGTATATTAGTACATCTATCTTGGCACATTTTGGTGATTTCTTACACAAGAAAAAGAATGACAATTTATGATTGCAAAAAAAAAATATTTACTATACACATGCACATTTTATGTTTTAATTAAATATTTATCCCCAAAGTCAATCAATAAACCTGCTTACAAGAAGGTTTCTATTTTGTTTTGATGGAAATTTTATGGAAACTGCTTTAAGAACAGATTCAAAGCTAAAAATAGCTTCTATAAAGAGACTATAAATAACTTCTATAAAGAGAAGCTATTTTAAGCTATTTTATTTTTCTTCTATAAAATTTAAAGCTTCTCTTTATAGAAGTTCAAGACAAAACGCTAAAACCCTGCAGAAATTTTAGTACATATTTTATTTTAAAACCAAGTTTATGACAAAAAAAATTACAATTTATCTGCAAAAACTATTAGAAATACAAAAAAAGGGAGGGCTCATGAAACCAGCTTCACTGTTAACTGAAGAACTGTAATTCATGCGACTGCCAGAGTTTGGCATATTTTGAAAATTTGGTAACTGCTACAACTATAATGGTTGCACTAATACATAGCTACCAATACCTGTATGTTCTCTAATATTTATTTGTTTTCTATTTGTTTCTATTTATTAGTTACCTTATTTGCATCTGAAGAAAAATTAATTACCTCTTTGAGTTAATTTCATAAATATCATACATAAAAATTTTAAATAAGTAATAACTTGTTTTTATTGTTTTTAGATCTTTCATTTTCAGAATGTTTCTCTATTTATTTGCTTGTGCAAAAAAAACAAACAGTTAAATTACTTATTACAAATAAATTTATTTTTTAAATCCCATGCATGCCTAAAATATTACTGTATAAAAGCAAATTCATTATACCCTTTGAGTGTACAGATAAATATGTTATGAACTACTTTCAATTTCCCATTATTATGCAATCTAGAAATTTCTTTATCCTGGGTATCAATAGTTTTTTTTCTCTTTTTTTTTTTTTTTTTTTTCTTTTCTTTTTTGTTGTTGTTGTTGCTGTTGTTCTGTGTCATAATATAGAAAGAAATTCTGCATGAAAATAGAACAGATAGTAACAGATTCTATTCAAACAACCAAATACACCAATGTATCAATGACTATGCATCACTTTTTCATTTAGTCTCCAAACATAGCAAACCAGATACTGATATAATCTGTTTTATTTACATTTTCAAACAAGTTTAATAAATTACATGCATCTTAAAAATTTTATAGATGTTTTTTTTTATTATTATTATTATTATTATTTTTAATACCGTATCCTCTTTTCCCAATTCATATGATCAAATGCTATAATTTTTTTATAGTTCACACAAATAAAATATACCAACATAAAATCAAATCTGTTTGTATTAATTATATAATATTTTAATTAATCCATGTACTGAGGCATTCTTATTACATAGTCACAACAAAAGAACACAAGAAAACTTTTGCACACTTGATGCACAATTGGAACGTTCAACAGCCAACAATATAATAACAATAATAGTTTATCACAATTTTTAATATATATATTTATATAGATGCATTTATTTTTATATATGTATATATCATGACTGCTAACAGCAGCGTCTACTGCTATAAAAAGCTTTCTTTGATATAAAACAAAATTAAAACATTCTATAGTTTTACCACACTTTGCACATATCACATTGTCAGATCAAAATGGTTTTAATTTACTACAGGAAAGCTAGCTGAAGAATTTGAACTTAATAGAATGCAGGTAATCTACAGACCTTTGTATATAATAAATCCTGCATAACTTGCATGCTAAGATACAAAATAAATATGTTCTATCTAAAAGTAGGCAAAAGCATACTTGTCTTTGATTTAACTGCAAAATTCAATTCAGATTTTATCTTAAAAAGTCAGGAATGTAATGTAATTGAATGATGCATCTTAACATTTTAAATATTTTTAAACAATAATCCCAATTCAAACACATCAAATATGTCAATTTGAACATCAGTAAGATAAAAACAGTTTTGAAATAAAAGTAAGCATCTGCTTAATAATGCATGTTTTTACAGCAAAAAAGCTTTTGACTATTTCTAACTACTAACACAATCAACATATTACACCTTACAATTCACTCTATTTATATACATAAAAATCTTGGGATCTGCAGATTCTAACTGTGATCAATTCAAGAACAGCAATAAATAAAAATGTAAGATGAGCAACTAGAAAGAAGTACTTTTATAGTATGTACTTAGAGGTTTCATTCAGGTAGTTTCAATACTGGAAAACTTTTCTTTCATTTGTATAATTAGTGCTTTAATATATATATTACAATTATGCTTCTGGGAAAACAGATTAGAATCATCATATGATCAGAAAGGTACACCTTATTATGCTATATATAAAATATTTCATTTTATCAATAATTCATTTCCAAACTTTTTTTTCTTGTTGATCATACAAACAATTAAAATGCTTTTAACTGCTAGCTTGCAAAAAATAAGAAGTACATTTACAGTTTTTTTTCAGGGATGCTTCGTTTTTCGTTTTTGAAAAAAACATAACACCTATTCAAAAAGTCTTTATGCACATATAATTTTAAAGAAAACATGAAAGTTAACTTGTACAAGCACAGCCAGCAGATAAATTCATACAAAAGTTCATTTCTTATTTTGAATGATAAAATTTTATAATTAATAATTAAAGGAGCTAAATTACTGATTATCATTAGTTCTGGGTTGCGACTGAAAAGTTTTATGAAAACTAGTAACTTCAGACTCACAGAGTGAATCAATGGACAATGGTACAGATGCAGAAATATGAGGAGAGCCTAATTTACAGGGGGGGTGCTCTATCTGTTGATATAAACGTGTATTAGATGTCATTATACGATCATCATATAATGAAAATCTAGCATTTTTTGACTGATTAGATTTAGCTCCATCTGAATTATCACCTCTATTTTCTCTTTCGGCATTTACTTGGTGACCCAGTTGATTCACACTTGATTCACTTCCTGCAGATATTATTTTCAATGGGTTTGGAGCTAAATTATTAGCAGTAGTTTTACAGCTTTCTAACTTTGCTATTGGTAATGTGTTAGGTCTTTTCATCTTAGGATTATTATCAGAACACAACTGAGGATGTGTTTGACTTTGAACAAATCCATTTTGAAAAGGAAACTTTTTACTACTATCTCCTTCAAAATGCTTTACATTAGTTTCTTCAGGTACTGTCTGACTATAAACTTGTCTGTTTGCTACAGGACGTACAACTGTTTGCGTCATACTGAATTCATCATTTGGATCCATAATGTAAACTTCGGTATCCATACTTTGTGTTTTGGTTAAATTTGTAACACCTAAAGGTTTTGGAACTTTATTATGCAACTTCGGCACATTAACAGTTGGAGGTTCTACGGCTTTGGGAACTGTTGACCCTTCTATATGTTTGGGAATAGTTGGATTTGGCTCAGCAACTGAAGTACTTTTTGGAAATTTGAAGAAATTTTTAAATCCAGTTATAATTCCTCGCTCTTCCTTTTTACCTGATTTCACAGCACCATTTCCCATTTGTAAGGAATGGCCATTGCCGGGAATATTGGGCTGCTTCGGCATGGTGCTGACAATGTGAACTGCATTCTGTACATATGGTATTGGATTAACTGCACGTGTTGAATGACTCAATACATCATTTTGTACCAAAGCATTACTTTCAGACTGTTCATTTGTTTGAAGAGTATTGAACAGGTCTGCATCCAAATTAAAACTGTTGGCAGAATTATTACGAGAACTAAATTTATCCCCTCTCTCGATTAAAGTATTTCCACTGATGGTCACATCTTCAACTGGCTCGATTATTAAATTACGTTCCATGATGGGATTCTTGCCTTGATATGGTTGCAAAGGTACTGTGACTCTTAGATTAGAAGTAACGACATTGTTTGCTGTTAAGTTTTTAAGATTATAACCATTACTACTAGAATTACTTGGACATGACCTTGGTGTTAATTCACATGGTGACATAGTTATAGTAGTTTCAGCAGTATTTTCAGACATGCTGAAGTCGCCACTATATCGGTTATCCAAGCCCCAATTTGTAGGGCTTACACCTTCTGCATTGCTTTTCATTACTGGCATTTCAAAAGTTGACCCCCTGAACCAACCATTACCCGATGATTGAATAGTACCATTGCTAGTTCGAGTTTGTGATGCCGACATTGGATTTACTGTAGGACTTACTCCTTGAATAGCGGTACCAGCTGAAATTGAAAGAAAAATCAATAACATGTTTGACTATAAAGTCAATATGAAAATTTAAATACCATATGATAAAATACATGTAAAAACAATGTTTGAAAATGCCACATATATTTCAACTAGTTTTAGCTTTTTTTATAACTTAAAACACAAATATGGAAATTACCCATAATTTTTTAGATACCTTTTTATTATTTAGGCACTTATTTAGTTTACCTTAATATCTTAAGTACTTCTGTTATTAAAATGTACTGTTTAAGCATTAACACCAAAATAGCTCTAACTTTGATAGGACATTATGGAGTAACTGACTGACAGAAGTCATTTCACATGACACATACATGTTCTGAACAGTTTGAAATTTTTTCTATTAAATATCCATTCTTGTTAGGTGTAAACATTCCCACTCTCCTTAAACTGCATTAATGATTGATAACTGGTGTAAGGAAAAAACAGAAACAATTAAGTGGCCTTTCACTGCATTATAACATCTGATTGTAACTAATGTTTTCTGCCAAAAAATGTTCTTAATAAAGTTAGGGGGGAACATGAGAGCAGTGCCTTTAGTGCGGATAGTAATCATTACCCAAATCTGTGATTTTCTACCAACAATTTGGTAGTTTTTCAAAGCTTTCGGCTTAGAAACTTGGTGGCCACGAATCCAAAAACTGACCAATCTCATTTCGGACACCCTGCGCAGAATGAAAAGTAGCACCAACCAAGATGTGGCTGTAGGTGCGAAAAAATGTAGATGTCCAAAGGAGCGATGTCGGGGCTATATGTTGGGCATGGAAAATGATCCCTTTCGAGTCCGTACAGAGTCCAGCCGGTGTGAATGCAGACACATGTGGTCTTGCATTATCTTGATGTAACATTACCTTTTTGTGCTGGAACTCAGATGGAAATTTTTCCTTGATAGCAGCGTCAATATGGACTAGCATCTTGCTGTACACCTTACTGTTGAGGGTTTTACCTTTCTCCAGACACTCTTTGTGGATAATACCATGGCATCCTACCACCAGATACAAAGCATTATCTTTTTGTTAGTCAAATTGCACTTTGCAATGCTGCTGATGCACTCACCTGGCACAGAACAATCCCCTTTTTGGTCTGTGTTGTTGAAGTCAATCCACTTTTCATCACAAGTGATGATCCGGTCCAGAATTTTGTCTTTGTGTTGATATTCAAGCAGATTAGTGCAAGCCTGAACATATCTATCCTTATGTTACTTAAGCCCATGCAGCACCCAATGAATGAACTTGTACGTCAAGTTTATGCAATGCATAACATGACTAATGGACATGGCACTAGCGTCTAACTCCTTAAGAAGCTTTTGAGTGGCTGAATACTGATCTTCTTACACAAGTTCTCGTACATGGGCCCTCATCAACATCAGTAAGCCAGCCAGAGGACTCTGCTTCTTGAATGTTAGAGGTCTTGTTTTAAACTTTCAGTACCAAACCTTCACTTTGTCATATGATACAACATTAGTACCTAAAGCTATACATGTGGTTTGATGACATTCTGTAGCTGACTTTCTGGAACAGAACTTGAAGTAAATGATGGTTCTAGTTTGGTAGCATGATAGTTTCATTTCAGACACCTTATACTTAATAATAACGATATTTTTTTTAAAAAATTCACAACACAGTGTTCAAATGCAAGTTTCTTACTTTCAAATGACAAAAATTGTTTGACAAACTATGATTAAATGTGCCAACACAAAGGGTTAGTGTAGACAATATTTGTGGTTCCTTAAAACCCGATATATTAACAGATTTTCTTAGCCTGATATATTAAATGAGGCTATGGATTCACAGATGTCATTTTGAGCATCTTGCCAATTTGAGCAATGAAATACAAAACCAGCTGTAGCATGTTGGTGTTTGAACTTTAAAAAAATGCAGAAAGAAATGTGAAAAAGAAATATGAATATAATGAATGAGAAAATAAATAATCATGCAAAAAATTATTTTGATGATTATTTGATTATTATTATTCAGTAATATTGATGAAAATGCAAAAACAAAAATAATTTTTTCCATTTTCATTAATATTACTTTCTACATTATTTTTCTTCATTGAAATTTATTCATTAAGAACACCAAATTTATACTAAAGATTTCTTTAATTCAGTGGGAATTGGTTGGAATTATGAGAGTGGATTAAAGAAATACATTTTTCTTTTCTACCAATCAAAAGTGAGCACTTAATCATTCTAGGTAGGCAAATTTCCTGGCACGTCTAGAGTTAAAAACCTTCAGCATTTGATAGACCTATATTTATTATCGATACCATCTTTTTTCATATTTCTCAATCTCTTGTTTTGACTCGTGTCTTAACCATTAAAATTGGAATATTCAGGTAAATGCAATTCAATATTGGCTTTCTACTGTAGTGACTTGCTGAATTTTTACACATATGAATACATATACGAATCATAGGATAACAGAGTGCAGAACCTTCACAATAGATATTTATGTAGCTAACAACTCTCAATATTACAATGCCTATCTAATACTAGGTGAGGTGATCATTAAAGAAATTGGGATTCAACTTCTCATTAAGTTTGGCAGGGCCTTATAGAAACAAGATTCAATACTGAAAGCAATAACTGCCAATTTACAAGTCCAAATACCATAACAAATTTGTAGTTTGTATGATAGTTTGCAATGAATGGTAATGGGCATAATGACCGCCTAATGTACAGGTTTGCTGCCTGTAAATTTAGTTCATAATTTGGATCAGTATAGTTACATCTAAGCTTAAGAAATAACAGCTGCAGTAACTTGCAGTGATGACTGAGCTTATTTGTGAGCCTGTCAGGTGGTATCGCAGCCACATAAATGATACTTCAAATTCTTCCGAGTGCCAATAATGTGCAATACTTCATGCATCCCACTGCACATGCCCATAAATACAAAGAGTAGACTACCATACGTCAGAAAGACCTACAATACACTTCTCAAAAAAAGCAACCAATAGTAATTAATCTGTCAGTAATTTGTACTTGAATATTCCAATTTTGTTAAAAATTTTCAAGGTCCATGCAACAAATCTGAACTATCTGCAACATTTAACCTGAAAAAAAATTTTATCATCATCCTTACATCTTCCTTGAATAAAAATATGTTACATCACTGGGTCCAGATTAACATCATTTGTATAAAGTTAGTGGATTCTCCCATTCTATAACTTATGTTCTTGTAGCACAACTCCTTACAGATAAAGTTCTTTTTTAAGTAGTGTATTTATCTCATTTTAAACATTTGAGAGCTTACAACTCTATTTATTAATAACATAAAAAGCATCATGATAAACTTAAATAAACAAACCGCACATTTATATCGATCCCAAAGTACTGGCAGTTCTATAAGCCTTTCTTCAACACAAAGGGCAGTAAGTCGAGCTTCTGCATCTTGATCCCAACAATCTTCAATAGTTTCTTTTAGAGCTCTTACAGCCTAAAGAAAGAGAAAAGAAAATTTACATAAATTTAGTTTAGTTTTAAAATAGTAAAAAAAAAAAAAAAAAAAAAAAAAAAAAAAATTATTGAATATTACTCGCGGGAGGACAAATATTGCCATATATTTCCAATATCTAAAATTTCAGAACAAATGTGGACCAGATGGTCTTATGCACAGAAAATGACATGCAAATAGCGAAAAATATAAGAAGGACTTTAGAAAACTAAAATAAAATATTAACCCTCTGAGTGACTAGGGTTTTTGGACCTATCATAAAGACCTGTATTTAAAGAGCCTTTAATAGCTGAATTTGTATATTTACTTACTTTAGCCTCTATTTTCATAAACTTACATTTATTAAGATGACATTTATATTACAAATGGACACGAATAATAAAAAATACAGAAGCTTTAAGTAAAACTAAAAAGGAAATATTACATGCAATCAATTTAAATGCAATGGCTGAAAATTAATAATTTCTTTACATATCTGTTACACATTAATTACTTTGCTTGCCGATAGATGGCAGTGCCTCTAACCTGACTAGCTAGGCAAGTGCACGGTATTTGTGTTGCGACACACTCTCGTCACTTGCCACCAACCATGTAGCATCAACGTCTCTCTTATGTATAAAGTAATTTTATTTAATCTTATAAATAAATAGTAATTTATCTATGTTTGACGAGTCAACATATATAACATGGTGTCAGAATAAACCATGCTCACAATTTAATGCATAAATTGATATTTTAAGGATAACGTGCATTTGAAAAACTTGGAATCGAAAATGGCGCATAACCTGCCCACGTTGTCACCGTTTGACGCTGGATCGAACCCTTCTGATGCTTGGAGACACTGGAAGGAAGACTTCAAGGACTATATTGAGGCATTAAGATATAGCCAAGAGTCAGAAAGCACAAAAACTGCGTTTTTTCGACATGTTTGTGGTGATGAATTAAAAAAGCAATATCGATTAATTGATTTGAAGCCAGAAGCGGGCAGCAGTGAAATGTTCTTGAAACAAGTGCTACAAGAATTCGACAAATATTTTCGCAGATTAACAGAATGAGATTTATACATCATTCAAGTTTCTGGAACTAAAGCAAGAGAAAGGAGAGAAATTCATGGAATTTTACTCAAGGCTACGATGTGCAATAGTAGATTGCAACTATGGGCAAGCGCAAGATAGAATGCTCCGTAATAAAATAGTGCAAGGCATCTCAGATAAAGCGTTAAAAAAATGCCTAATACGAGAGACAAATAGAGTGAAAAAGACGCTGCAGAATATCATCAGTGAATGCAAGGCGGCCGAACATAACAAAGCACAAGCCACTAAAATGAGCGAGAACAAAATCTGTTTTGCTGTTTGCTGATGTGTTTGCTGGTGTGGGAAAACTAAATCGTACAGTAAAGATAAAAATAAAAGAAAATGTCGCACCTCATGTTGCAGCACCACGTAAAGTGCCACTTGCTTTGCATGAAAAAGTAAAGCAGGAGCTAAACAGAATGGTTGAAACAGGCATCATAACGAAAGCTGATGAGCCTACAGAATGGGTGAGTAACATGGTTGTGATAAATACGCCAAAGAAATTGAGAATTTGTCTAGATCTAAGACAACTTAATGAGGCTATTCAAAGGCCTCATTATCCAATCCCTACAGCAGCAGCCCTTATGACAAAACTCCATGGATGTAAAATATTTACTATTTTGGATGCCAAGAATGGATTTTGGCAACTAGTGCTTGATGAGGAGTCATCATACTTGACAACATTTACAATGTCCTGGGGAAGATTCAGATTTTTAGTTCTTCCTTTTGGTCTAAACAACGCACCTGAGGAATTTCAAAGGGCCATGGAGGAGATTTTTAGCAACGAGAACGAGATAAATCCATATTTTGATGATTTAGCCCTAGGATCATCGTCTGTCGAAGAATATTGCAACTTGTTGCGGAAGACACTTATGACAGCAAGAAGTGCTAATCTAAAATTTAACATCGAGAAGACACAGCTATCTTAGACCTCTGTGACTTATTTAGGACATGTACTGTCTGATAAAGGCATTGCACCTGATCCAAAGAAGGTCCAAGCAATTGAAAAGTTTGCAGAACCAAAAGGCCAGGAAGACTTGCAGGGATTTCTAGGAATGGTGACATACTTAGCAAAATTCACACCTCAGTTGTCAAGTCTAACTCATTCGTTAAGGCAACTTTTGAGAAAAGATAGCGAATGGTTATGGGATGAAAACATCCAAAGCGACTATGAGCACCTAAAACAGATGATTGTGCAAGCCCCATGTTTACAGTATTTTGATGAAAGCAAACTTGTAACTGTGTCAGTAGATGCCAGTAAATATAAATATGGAATTGGAGCGGTTCTACTAAAAAATAATCAACCTTTGGTTTTTGGATCAGCATCATTGACAGAAACACAGCAAAGGTCACAGATTGAAAAAGAACTCTTAGCAGTTGTATATGGGTTAGAACATTTCAACTACTATACGTACGGAAGACATGTAATAGTGCAAACTGATCGTAAACCATTACTAGGCCTTAGTAAGAAACCTTATGATACAATCTCACCTCATCTTCAGCGCATGCTCCTCAAACTAAACAGGTATGATTTGAAATTGGAATATGTCCCAGGAAAAGAATTGCTAATAGCTGATGCCCTGTCCAGAGCACAGTCAAGTGTTGACACCTTTGATGACACCTTCAGTCAAGAACCTACTGTTAATGTAAGTCTATTAACACAAGCCTCTCCAACAAAATGGCAGGAAATCGTAAATATGACAGAAAAGGACCCTGAATTGCAAGACGTGTCATTTCATATCAAAAATGGATGGCCAGAAAGAAGCAAAACAAGGCCAGCAGCACAACCTTACTGGCATTGCAAAGAAAAGCTTTATACAACAAAGAATGGAATAATTTGTCGAGGACAACGACTAGTTGTGCCAGCATCTCTTAGGAAAGAAATTATGAAAAAAATGCATGTGTCTCACAAAGGTATAGTTTCTAGTAAAGCTAGAGAATATTTTTACTGGACGAACATCAACAAAGATGTGGAAGAATACGTTTCTAAATGTGCGATATGTCAGAAATATCAACAGGCTAATCAGAAAGAAGTTCTTTTAGACTGTGATCTACCAGAGAGACTGTGGCAAAAAGTTGCCTGTGATTTCTTTTACCTGAAAGGACAACAATATCTGTTTAATGATAGACTACTTTTCAAAATATGTAGAGCTGAAATTACTGAAAAGTATAACTGCTGAAGCTGTAATGACCATTATGAAGTCCATTTTTCCAACACATGGAATACCAGAGAAGCTCATCACTGATGGGGGACCACCATACAACTCGGAAGTATTGCGGAAATTTCTTGAAGAATGGGATGTTATGCATAACATCACATCACCACATTTTCCTAGAGCAAATGGGCAAATTGAAAGATCTGTCGAAACTCTCAAGAAGTCTCTGAGCAAAGCTGCGGAAGAAGGAAAGGACTTGTATATTGTTTTGCTAGATTATAGAATTCAACCTGCAAATGATTTGACATTCCCGGCTGAATTATTAATGGGAAGAAGACTGAGATCTTTTCTGACATCACATCCTAAAGCATTGCTATCGAAATTTCAAATAAAAGGTGCAAGTAGAGCATTAAAAAAAGGCAGATAGTGCAAAAGAAATATGCCAATAAACACGCAACCCAGCTTCCAAAACTTCATGAAAATGATAAAGTGTGGTTTAAATGGAAAATTAAAGAGCCTTGGAAATAGGGTATGATCATGAAGACAGGTCCTCAGCCAAGATCTTATGTCATAAAAGCAAATGATGGAACTGTGTATAGGAGAAACTGATATCACATTCGTAAAGACAAGTCTACGTGTGAAAGACAGAGTGGAACAGAACAGCAGAAGATTTGTTTGGACTTGATCAATCAACACTGGATCAACCTGTTCTTGTAGATAATGATAGGCAGGATCCACCTAAGGAACATTAAAGTGATTCTACTAAACATTCTCAAATTCCAGGAAATGTGTCAACTGAACCAATGTTAAGACGATCCAAGTAGAAATAGAATAAATCCTTTTCGATATAAAGACAATTAGGAATAACTTATTGATGCCAAAAATTATACTTTATTTTATAGACTAATTATGGAATTTAATGAACTGTTCAGAACTCTAAAATATCAGTTTAATTAGTAAGTCACAATTTTAAAGATTTAAGTGAGTGCATCCAGTATGTAATTTTGCTATGTTCTCTAAAGTCAACTTTTAAGTAATAATTTAATGTTAAAATGTTTTCTTAAGTTAACTGCTAAGTAAGTAATGATGTAAAATAATTATTGTACTAAATTAGTAACATGCACTAGTCTTGTTCTATAAATAAAAAGGGCACGTTAGATATTAATTACTTTGCTTGCCGATAGATGGCAGTGCCTCTAACCTGGCTAGCTAGGCAAGTGCATGGTATTTGTGCTGCGACACACTCTTGTCACTTAAATTTGTAATTTATCTATGTTTGACGAGTCAACATATATAAGAATATCATTTTTTCAGAAAGTGTAATAATTATATTCATGCACACATTCTTTTCAATAATTTGAGCTATCTACATATTTATTTTGCCTTATGGTGACTATGGCAGAATTTGCTTTTGCTTTTTCAAATTTAACTGAACATCATACAGTCAATGCAGTATCATTTTCTACACTTTTTTAATTTATTCTTTTCCAGTAAAACCTGCTGAGCAAAAAGGTTTAACACTAAAAAAAATATATATATTCATAGAGGTTCATCATCAAATTAGAGAGATATCAGTTGCTATAAGTTCACTGGTGGCAGACAATAAAAGTAAAAAACAAGGTGAATGGAGCCCACCAGCGGCCGCGTGGTAAAGACGCTGAACACTGGTAGTTCGGTCCGAGGTTCGAATCCCGCGAACAGGCTGGCTGCATGGGCGTTTTTGTGGTTTTCCCCATGTGTAATGTGTATACGAGCCAGTTTACCTTAGAAAGTCCTCCACGAAGGCACCCCTCCCTTTAGAAAAAAGTCCAATCTCTCTTCGGAGCACGCTCTGGCAATCATTCTTCCACGTAATATGGACATGACAACAACAAGGTGAATGAACATTTCAATATATCCCCCCTCCCAGAAACCAAATGTCAATGATACATTTGCTCCTCCTAGCAACAGAATCAAATTCTGAATCTTCAGCACCATAATCAGCTTCCAATAAATATTAACCCTCATTTTCCTGCCTCAAGAATACTCCTTTCTGCAAGAAAGGCACAGGCATAATATTAGGCTTTTTCCTCTCTTCCTCCTATTTGAATTTTTTAAATCAGTTTACTTTTTCTGTTCTGTTCTTTTGAATTAAAAGATGGAAGCCTAAAGTTTCTGAAAATCCTTTTTTAATGTATAGGGTAATATAATGTATCATTCCACTGCATTATTGTTAAGCTCTGTCTTGTCAGTATCATATCTTGATTTGACCTTAGGACTTCTTATATATAAAATCATCTCAATGAGCTTAAAAATATGCTTTAAAAACATTTTTTTTAATCTGAAAACCTTCAGATTTAACATTATGCCTAAAGGGGCATTTTTTTAAAAAGTTTTGTGGGTTATCTTTATTTATTAAATATTGTGTCCTTCGCACTTCGACCATACAATTCAGTTCAACAGCAAAATCACAAAATAATTTTTAAATGAGCTTATATTTAGCTTACAATTCCTGATACGCAGTCTCGCTTGCTGGTGATAAAAAGTCCCCACCCTCCCCGTACAGTGTTGCCATTGCTTGCTCTGAAATTGTTGGGTTTGTTAATCAAAAATTCGTTAATTTTCTATAAAATATGAAATAGATAATAAAACAAATTCCAAATTTGGGCTTCCAGATGCCCATATTGGGGTGGAAACATATGTTATTCGAAATTTGATAGCTCTATGTACTGTCGTTTTATCACAATGCCAGAAACATACATAAATTTATGCAGACTCTGCATTATTTAATTCCTTTAAATATAATACAAGGCTATAATATATGGTGGCAACAGTTTGGAAAGTGAACCGACATTTAAAATTTTCAATGCAAAATGCCAAAAACGAAATTATTAGCCTTTCTGGGTTAACGCCCTTTGGGCTAAAAAGAAAGAAAAGAAAAAGATTATTGTTGAGTAAATCTCAAATAGTCAGCAAACTCTAGTAGATGCTTTAATCAAAATAAAAGGATAGTATTTTGCTTTTTAATCACACACAATTATTAGTTACAACATAAATTCAGCAATTTTTATGCTTTTTATTACATATTTTTTATACTTTTTATTACATAATATTCCAAATGCAGGCAGGTATTTTTTCTACAAAGACATTTAAAAAACATATCATTTATAAAATACTAATTTCTCCAGTTTATCTTCTTTGTTTTCATGTGTTTGTTTTCATATACCTCTCCCAGAAAAACTTTAAATTTTAAATACATATTAAGCACTCTATTACATTCAATTCTAGAGGTTCCGGAGGGAACCTAAAAAACTTACTGGATTAGTATCTTTCCATATGTCAGGAAATAAAGGTCGAGCTTTGTGCTTAGCAACAAGGACTTGCATTTGTTCCATGGTGGGATGATTTCCAATTTCAGCAACAAATGGAGCTTTATAATCTGGCACCTCTACTCCTACATTAAAGAAGAAAAATTATCTGTTACAAGTTTAAACAAACTCAGTGCATAAAAAAATTTCTTAATTGTATATTTCAGCTAGTTTCTTTTAATATACATATGCACAATACGATTCCATTTATCACAGAGGATACGTTCCTGTGCTAAATAAAACATGATTAAAAGAGCTCATCTTAACATAAAAATACTGGGTATAAGTGAAATAAGACGGAAGAATATGAAAATTTAATAATAAAAAAAATTCACGTAAAGAAGTTATGTTTGTAATGAAAAAGATTCTTCCTCGTTTGAATTTTTTTTTTCTTTCTTTTTCTTTTTTTCTTCTTTTTTTTCTTTTTTTTTTTTTTGTGTGTGTGTGTGTGTGTGTGTGGCGTTTGTTTGTTTGTGTGTGCACACACGAAGAAAACGTAGCATAATTTGCCCTTTCCTGTTTCATTCAGCAATTGGTTGTTAAGAGGGAAACCAGAACTCAACATACTTTATTATAATAAGAGCGAAACATCACATCACACATCAATCTTGCCTTTGAACTTCTACCAAAACTTAAATCATTTTGCATAAGCTGATTCATAATTTTCTTTATAGTAGCTACACGTTTTTTTAGAAAATCTCCTGAAAGTTCCTTTTGCTCCTCAGTTCCAGGAACACTCAATTTGTCACCTTCGTGTACTTGTTGTTCGATTGATATTTTAACTACATTGTTCAAAAAAATTTCACTAGTAGTAACTTGCAACAATTCTTTAATATCCTGCTCATTTATGTTACCCAATGCTACTTCATTAACTAGCTTTATAATTTCGCTGACATCAACAATGAATTCTCTTATCTCAACATTCTTGCTTAATTTCAGCCATACATTCTTCTATGGCTCTCGTCTATGGATGCCATTTTTTGGGTTGCTGCAGATAAAATGATGATAGCTTGGCTCGAGGATTTTACCATTTTTATTTAACACTAGAAAAAGATATATATTTCAATACATGTTCACTGATACACAGTTACATTGATTACAGTTTATAGGTAGCAAGTCCACGTAGGTAAAATATCATGAAAGTCATATCACAGCTATGAAGACATCACGAAGCGGAAGAGAGGTGAGCATTTGCTTAACTGACGGTAGCCAGGAACAGAGTAACCAGCCCGAATTTTCTCCTAGTGAAGAAGAGGGAGAAAGCTGGTGACGCCCTCTCTTGGGCCAGTGGACAAATAATAATAAAGAGTTCTCCACACTTCCATATTCCTTTCAAACATATCTTGGTCACTTCATTCCAGGAAAAAGCAAATCTCTCAATGGCAGCCAAGATTTCCAAAGCTCTGTAATGGATTGTTTAACTTTTTCATCGATTTTGTCAATAGTTGGAAAGGTCCAACACCGACTTAAAATTTGAAATTATGCCTTGATCCATTGGTTGGATTAAAGAAGCTGTGTTTGATGGCAAGAAAATCACTTCTACTAGAATGCATACTGTTAAGTTAGGCATATGTATTGGATGACAGTCAATCAAAATCATCCTTTGGTTTTAGTTTTTTTAAATTCACAATAGCGTTCAATACGTAGGCAAAAACGTGTTTGTATACCATTTCTTAACTTTGCAATTAGATACTGCTTGAATTATTTATTATAAGCACTGATTACCTATTGTATATATATGTCTCAAGAGAAGTTATTTGAGCTCTTATTACTACAAATGGGTTGAAATTTAAGTATGCATATACAGTGGTACCACAGTATGCAACTGCTTTGAAATATGTCTAGCTTGATGTCTTGTTTGAACACAGAAGTTTTCATTAGGTATATGTTATCTGTTTGGAGCACAACTCTAATTTAATGAATCATAACTGCATATATGCGACTTGGCTGCTGTATACCATATGCAAAGGATGATGGTATCCAGAATTGTGAAAAACACAGACACTATAAAATAGGCTACTTTTTCAAAAGGGTGGAACCAATTATCAAACAAAGACCAGACATACAGCATGTTGAGAAATTGCTTTTTATCTACGTAACAGAAAAAAACATTTATGTGCAGCACTTCATTCATGTACACTATATATTTCACTCACTGCATTTGTATTTTAATATTAAATAGTATTGTAATAATAATAACATTATGAATTTTTTATAAGAATCGATAAATTATTTTCTGTTTTATTTCATATCTGAAAAGTTCACTCTTTAACATGCAATATTAAGTCTAAGGATCTGGAACAGATTACTAAGGTATACCTATGTACTTAGCATATTATGAATTTTCATTTGAGAATTTAAAAACTTGAAATGATATAATACCGAATTCTTTCACACATTTCGATTAACAAAAATTTAAATATTTTAACAAAGCTAAATTTTATATATAGTAAAACATAATCAATTACATTTCAAGAGAACAGAATCAAATGCATTTCAAAGAGACAGAAGATAAAAGTGATGAATGAAGAAAAAACAAAATGATTAAATTAGTTATTTTTACTTTACAGTAAGTATCAATGATCAAGTTATGATTTAAAATAAAAATCAATAATTATCTGCATCATTTTCATTTTGTGTGAAGAAAGCTTTGACTTCCAGCAAAGCTCTATCTCAGCCAATTCAGCTTTATAAACACTTACTCAATTTCAAAGTCTTCTTCCAAACTTTGTAGAGCAGAACTTAAAACTTTTGAGAAATAAAGAACTGCAAAATCACAGAAAGAAACTTAATGCAGTTGAAGTAACATTTGGAAATGACACAATGTGAATGCCAAAGCTGAGTGTCATCTGCAAAGCATTACTGCATTATTATGCTGCCAAATTTATTCCTCAAAGAATGCAAATAAATTAATATGTATTTCACTTCAGGAATATTTTTGTATGAAATGTTGGATTAGCAATGTGATTTACTTACAGTAAATGTAGGAAAGTAGTAATTTAGGGAACAGTGGATGCAGAAAATAAATAATGTCACGCATACAGAGCTTCATTCAGGACCAGAAACCAGCAACTGATATACTATTTGGGAAAACAATTATTGAAGAAGTGTAGAAAAGTTCTACTATATCGGCTTTATGGTTAGCTGTAAAGTACAACATAAATTATCCAAATGATCATCTACTTTTTCCTAATTTTAGTACATTTTTAATTCCAGTTAATTTCATTTTATCTTCAAATCATATTAGTAATAAAAGATAAAATTATTAACCTTGGAAAAGATCAGTACATCTGGTTGCAAGTTCCCATAGTATCAAACCCAAAGCATATACATCTATTTGTTTTAAAGAAGATTCACAATCACGTAAATTGACAGCTCCTTCTAGTACTTCAGGTGCCATATAACGCAATGTTCCAACCTAAAATAAAAATGAAATTTAATTAACACTGTAATAAAATTTAACATATCATGTTAAGTCTTAAATAATCACACTAAAAACCTTTCATACATGGCAAGTGCATCCACGTAACTTTCCCAGCTAAAACTGGCATAAAGTAAAATTTAAATACTAATAAGAGAATACATTTTTAATAACATTAATACCAAAATAAAAACTAAAACAGATTAGAACTAGCACAGAAACATATGCAATATTATAAATACACTATAAATTATGGCATAATGTTATTATAATACCTTGCATACAATGTGATACAGTGTATATGTATAAAGCCAGCAAATTAGTTCAGATTCTGAAAAAAAGGTAGTGATAATTCCAAAATATTACATTTATATTTGAAAATTAAACATCCTCAGTTCTATAGTTTTTTAATAAAACTTAATGAGTGTAATTTGATATGCTACAGCAAACAGATATGTATGGCAAATTAATTATTGCATATATATGGCAAATGCCTTAACATGCATTAAGTGTATAGGAAAGAAAATGTTCATAATGAAACTTTAAATACGAGACACTGTAATTTGCGCTAATACGATACTTTTGGTACTTCTTTATTATTAAAGCCCTCATTTTTTAACAATGTTAAGATTATCACAAATTAAAAACACACACCATCTTTAAGTGGACGGCATTTCTAACAATTATCATTATAGTTTAATTGTGGTAAGAAAAGCTCAGAGTAAACCATATTACTGCATTTTCTTGTTTTCATATACCATATTTTCTGGCATATAATGTGCACCAGTGGATAATATGCATTTATAATTTCAAGCTATATTTTTTTAACTTTTAGGTATATTCACCGTATACCATGCACCCAGTTATTCACAAAGAAACATAAAAGGTATATGTGCAATGCTGTTATCTTTTGAAGTCACTTATTCAAAGATCTGCCCTAGCTTTCAAGCAATAGTATACAGAATTGACAAGCAATAAGGGGAACAATATGTGTGTGGGTTAAATGCTTGAGGGAGTAAATATTCCTGCAAAGAGGGTGGATTGTATTGAGCGCAAGTGCCCAAAAGAATGTTATTCTAGGGTTTCGGGAAAAGGGGGAATATAATTTGGAGTAAGAATGCACTTCCAACCCAAAAGAATTCCCAAAATTAGGATTCAGATGTTTCCTTTTTCTTTCATCATTTAAAGCCTTGATTTTGAAGTTTAAAGGTTTTAAATGAAGAACAGTTGATCTAGTGTTCCTCTTAGTACTAAATATAGTTCCTGTCAAACGAAACAATGTCTTGCTGGTTTCAAATGCAAAGTAATTCAGTTTGCGAAAGAAAATGGAAACCATGCTGCAGCAAGAATGTTTGGTGTTGGTGAAAGATGAGACAGATGATGATTATTTATTTATGGATCAGAGTAACAATGACCGTGAAGATGAAACAGAAATCAATGATGTGCCTGAAGATATAATGGAAGACTAACATGACAGACTTTTCATGTTATACAATAATGGAAAGTTTTTAAATTCAAAAGGTATGTCATTGCTTTTAAATAAACAGCATAAATACACATAAAAGTGTAACTTTTGTATGCTAATTTCTTCCATATTTTTATATGCTGGAACATACGGTAAATGTTAAAACTTCACAGTCACTCTTTATTCTCTCACCAAGAGAACAGCTCTAAGTATTCCATATGTTGATGCATTTTTTTTTTCCCAAAAAATAAAATGTTTTATATACAGATAAATGCAGAAGATGTTTTATTTTTCTTCCAAGAAAAATACATCTTACCCTGCATTTGAATATGCAAAGTTGCCATTAAATAAAACAATACATCATTGAAAGTATTTGGAAGCACAATGTGAAAAGTTGCATATGAAGAAAAAGTTATTTTCTATTGGACAGAGGAAATAACATCAGTTAAGTGGCGGGAGAAGCAACTCGATCTTATCAAAATATAATAATTGACTAAAATAATTTTACAAGAGATGTGCATTTTTTACATATATAATCTGGCAACCAAATAAACAAATAGATAAATAAATAAAAAATGAGAACATATATAAAAAGCTGTTCACATGGGAAAAACTAAGCTGGCAAAGTTCTGCAATACTATTGTTGTGTGCGCACTGGTTCGTAATAGACTGAATGCACAACTCTGATAATAGGTTCATAAAATTTATTCTTATCAAAAGAATATATCACAACTCTGGAATTTTCCTCAAAGATACGCATACAAGTGTTCACAATATCATTCAGTATAATCAGTAATTATACTTCAAACTATTAAAAATGTTACATACAACACAATGACAAGTGCATCTAAAGAGAAAGCATACTCGGATATATCAATTCACATGGAACTAAACAACTCACAACAACAATAACTATGCAACTGCGAGCAAATGCTCTCTCTTCAGCCTAAAATAGTTTTCACCTGGCCACACGAGATATTTCTAATATTTTCTGCTTCTCGAGATTTCTGGAAAGCAAAAAGAGTGTGGAATTATGGTTACAGCTAACACAGTGAACAGTTACATTTATTCAGTTTCAATACAAATTACTGAAATATCTATTTTCTCAATGCGAAATGCACGTGCCCCTGTATTCTTACTTTTCTGTCATAGCTTTCTCTTAAAACTTGTCTCGCACTGCATTTCACGAAGAAATACAATTTTAATTATAATTCTATTAAAATTACTTATCTAAATACAAAATTCGTAACACCATATTCACGGGTTATGTTGAGAAACTGGCGAAATTTTCGCAAAAAGGGAGAACCATAATGATAAAAATACAAGAGGTATTGACTGTATACAAGAGGGATTAACAACTTATTCAGATTGCTGATGATATAAAGTAGTGGAACCAAAAAAAAAAAAAAAAAAAAAAGAGGGGGGTAGGTTATACTTTTCACCGTGAATCACAAACTTAAGTTGCTAATTCTGCAACAGCTGCTGCTACTCAAACATTTTAAGTACAGCGTGTTTCAAAAGGAATATATACGCATTTTGAATGCATATATTTATTAAACTGTATGACATACGAATATGAAACTTTATACACATATGTACAAACCTCTCTTCGGATTACAGATGTTCAATATGTCCTCCATCAGTGACACGAATAATATCACATCGATACTCAAATTCCTCCCATACTCGGGCAAGCATGTCTGTTGTCACTGATGTTATGACAGTATGGATCATTCTTCACCTCTTCCAGGTTCTGTGGCAGTGGCAGTACATAAACATTGTCTTTAATGAAACCCCACAGGAAGTCACAGGAAGAAGTCACAGGGTGTCAAATACAGTGACCGTGGAGGCCAGCTGGGACATGCTAAGTCGCCAGCTCCTTCACGACCAATCCAGCAGGTCGGTAGAGTTTAATTCAGATAATCACGCACTTGGCGACACCAGCGAGAGGTGCTACATCTTGTTGAAAAATCAAGTTGTCTTCGTAGAGCCTCGAAAATAACCAGTTTTGTAACATAGCTAGATACATACTGCTTTCATCAAAGAAGAATGGGCCATAAACAGATGATCGAGATATTGCACAAAACACATTGATTTTGGGCGAATCTCGTACATGTTCAATGGCTGCATATGGGTTCTGTAGGCCCCAAATTCGAACATTGAGTTTCTTTACATGACCACTAACATGAAAAGTCACTTCACCACTGAACATGATGCATTATGCAAAAGCATTATCATTGTCAATACCATCAATAAGCTTGTTACAAAATGCCACACGTTTGTGTTGTCATCAGGACAGAGAGCCTGTAACAAATGTAACTTGTACTTCATAATCAACCGACGTCTCAAAACACGCCAAATTGCTGCTGTAGGCAGTTGTAACTCCCGACTGGCACAACGAGTTGATTTTGAAGGACTACGTTGGAAAGCAGTTTGAATTTGTGCAGCATTTTCGTCAGGAACACGAGGGCGACCAGCGCTCTTTCCTTTACATACACATCCTGTATTTACAAACTGTTGATACCATTTGCGAATGTTCCACCCATTCAGAGGATCACATTGGTACCTCAACTTGAAACGTTTTTGCTCTGTAATCACGGAATTGCACTTCGCAAGCTCGAGGACACAAAATGATTTCTGCTGTGAAGTGGCCATTTTAGCGGCTATTAATATAAATTATACCATGTATTCGTTTCACCAATAGCCAAGCCGAGGCGCAGTGATCAATAGTTTGGACAAAATAACACTTTGTAATACATATATTCTTTTTGCAACACAGTGTAGAACACTAAAATGTGCAGCAATAGCTGCTAACATGAATGTTGAAAGACTGCAGAACTCCATTAGTGGCGGAATAAAAATCAATAAGACACAGTTCACCATCATCTTTAGTCTTACCTTACAAAATTCATGTGGTGAAAGTCCTTCAGATGAGAAAATGTTTCTGATGGCAAATTAAAAGCAATGTCAAAAATATGGTACCACAAAGTGTATGAAAAAGCAAAGATGAACTTGAAGAAAATTCTGGTGCCAACTTGGTGTTTAAAAAATGGAGGCTGTAATAATAAGGAAGATCTATATTTCTTGTTCACTTAGAACTAAATAATTTGGAGATGTAAATTTTTGGCATATGAATAATTTTGAGTATCAATTCAGAGCAAGTTATAGCATTTTTATGCTTACTTTATTTCTCAGCTGTTTTCTGCAGCACCAGAATAATCACATACATATGATGTAATATTTATTTTGCAAATATACAGATACTATATAACACAGATATTATCCTACTTTGTTACACTGTACAATGTATACAATATAATGATTTATTATATTATAATAATACCATGCATGATGCCACTAACAGTATGTGATAGAATGCTATTTGTAATTACAAAGGAAATATAAATACTTTGCAATACACGTAAATTATATTGCAAAAACCAAAAAAAGTATTATAAACACTCTACAAATAACTAGGAAATAAACACTGCAGTATCATAATATATATATTATATAGCCTTCTATAGTTTGAGAATGGGTGTAATGGTTTTTGTATAAAAAGTTTCATAATTTTTATTTTATTTTTATCTTTACATTAGTTTTGCTCAAAGTCAAATGGAATGAAACTTGAACTCAGGGTACGTACTATCCATTAGAGCGGCGTCAGTTAAAAATGCGCCTCTTTTTTTTTTTTTTTTTTTTTTTTTTTTTTTTTGGCCAATAGTTGTTGCCAAGTGTAAAATTATGAAACAATATTAGATTTAAAAAAAACTAAAAAAAAATTACTTCTGTAAATGTAATTTTTTTTAATTTCACAATTCTTAAATAAAGTAATTTTTTTTTCTTTTTAATTTTTTAATCTACAGTATTCTATATATAAATAAAAAATAACAAAACAAAATGGAATTTAATCTAAACAGGTAGCATAAAATTACAAATATCATTCAATATTATAGAAAAAAACTTCAGTTTTTTAATATAACCAACACCACATAAATTCTAAATAGTGGCGAGCAGTGCCCTGCTGAAATTTATTTCTCCATTTAGCACTGCTCCACAGTTTGGGTATGGCATCTGCTTTTGGGGTCTACAAAATTAGAACTGTGATTCACAGTGAAAAGTTCAGCATTTCTTAGCAAGGAGATTCTTTTTTTTTTTTTTTTTTTTTTTTTTTTTTTTTTTTTTTAATTCTCTTCCAAGCAACCCCTGCCTCTGATTACATATAGTTCATCAGACACAATGGGCTAAAGAAAAACTGTAACAATGTAGTACACCCTTTCTATTGCTTCACAGAAATTGTTTAATAATCTTTAGCTATGTACTCTCTCCAAGGATACTGTTCTGTTTGACATATTTTTTTTATTTAATTAAAAAAATCTATATAAAAAATAAATAACTTAGTTGATATTTATTGATTTTTCCTGCCACTTGTATACTCTCACTAACCAAGGTTGTTTGCCCATGCTAATTTCTTTTAGTTTTCTTTAGAACACAGTGCAATGTCTATTATTGATACTTTAATTTATACCAAAACAATGAAACACTAAGTATTTACTCATAATCTGTTTAAAAATAAGAAATGAATCAAAATATCTGCAAAGGTCATTCCACATCACCTAACTCAGGACAAAAAAAGACAAAGACACTGCAGCATGTCAGGAAATTTTATATCATGAAAATCTGATGAAAAGGATTATTGCTGATGACAAGATATAGATATATGATCATGATACAAAAAAATTGGAAAGAAAGTCCTCAACAGCCTCTCTACCCCCTTTTTTTAAATCTAATGGTGGGCATTTGCCTTTTTCCAGCATTGGTCACTCCTAAAGCCAGAAGTGGTGACTATTTTATTGTGGAGGCACCTAACAGGTGGCTATCATTAACTCCTAAGAGAGTCTTCAACAGCTCCTCTACCCCCCCTTTTCTTAAATCGAATGGTGGGCATTTGCCTTTTCTCAGCATTGGCCACTCCTAAAGCCGGAAGTGGTGACTATTTTATTGTGGAGGCACCTAATAAGTGGCTATCATTAACTCCTATGGGAGGACAGACAATTTACATCCATGCCTTCTCCGGGATTTGAACTTGGACCCTTCGCTGTCACAGTTGGCTCCCCTAATCACTATACTGTCTGGCGGCCCAAAATACAGGTGACAACTCAAATGAAATTTGAGAGTAACGACAACCATTCTTTTACTTCTCTGAGGGTATTTCTGTCAAAAACTTTAACCAGTGGGACAAATAGCCATTTGGTGGCATTATCTTGAACTGCTGAAAGGTTTTTTAGATGAAAGACTTTAGAAATCTCAGTTCTTCCATTACTGCGATACCCCATGCAAGCACCACTACTCATGATTTTTGCCAAAGGCAAAATAACCATGTTTCTTCAGTCTCTCTATTTGCCTCATATGGACCCTTTACACATTTTCCATATCCAAAGTTAAAATTTAATATGAAAAGATAAAATGTGAGTTAATTAATAATATTAGGGAATATCCACAACAGCAACTAACCACAACAATGCAGAAAAAAAGCCTATCAGAAGTATTTCAAGAACTGAAAAAGGCACTGACAATATACTAGTGAAAAAGGACAATATTTTAAATGTGACAAAGTTGAATATATAAAATTAATTAAAAAATAACTAAGCAAAATTCAAGCACTTTCTAAATGATCTTTTATTTTAATATGTTATTAAAAATTAATCTCATATGTTATTTAAATTAAAACCACACAACATGTAAATACTCAAAATTCCATGCTAAACATCACTAAGGATCACTAAAAATATATAAACTTACATCCATAAGAGAAGTTGACTCAGCAACTTGTTCTTCTCCATTAATGTAGTATTTAGAGCCTGATATACAAATAGCAAAACCAAAGTCACACAGCATACAGCTTCCATCTGCTTTAATAAGGATATTTCTTGATGTCAAGTCCCGATGAGCAATGCACATTTTTACTTTACCTGGAAGAAGTAATGTATTGTTTTATACAAAATTTATCCAAAATCAACTCTTCAAGAAAAAGAAAGCACGTCATTTAATTTAAAAAAAAAAAAAATAATTCTAATAACCTTCTTTTCTAATTTCCATGTGTAAATGAGCAAGACCTTGAGTGATACTTTGAGCCATTCTGCAGAACCACGGCCAATCGATAGTATTATTTGTTAAATAATCCTGCAAACAGCCATTTGGGGCATAAGAAAGAACTAGCAGATACTCGGGTTTTTCATCTACACCAGTACGCTCCTCAGCCCCTGAAAATGATGATATGCATAATATAAACAGTCTGTATTTAATAAATGGGATTGTACATGAAATTTTTCTTAAATCAAATTGCAAGAGAAATATTACACTGTATAATTTAAGTAAGCAAGCATTCACAATCATTGCAATGTACTGAAATTCAATTGACTTCTTTTACACTGTAAATTTTGCAACCATTTTTAATACCCAGTGCTTTTAACCAATGATAAAAAATGTTAGCTAATTACCTAATGTGATTAAATCAGAACCTGATTAAAATATGGCTGAAATACTATTTGCTTTTACTTAATAGTAAAGCCAAAATATGGACACCAATGGATTTCCTTTAAGCCAAATTTCTTTTTAAATATACTTTATAGAAAGAATATTTTGTTTACTTTAAGGTAAAGAAAATTATGCTGTTTTAATTACATAATCATTTAAAGAAATGATGTGAATAAAAAAAAGGAGGGTGGGATTTGCAAAAAGTTTACTTTTATATTATTCTGAAATGTATAATAATTCAAAATCAAGCTTGACAATAATCAAGGAAACTACAGTCATCTGGGACCAATAAACACTTAAAAATTTTATCTGCTCACTTTACAGATAAAGCAAAAATAATAAACTTGGGAAAATTTTTAGCGTCTCTGAAACAAATAAGTAAAATGTAGTTATTTTATAAATGGTTATGCTTTTCAAAAGTGGAAGAAATAGCAGCATTGAATATTATAGAATTATTCAAAAATCTACAATTTTTTTATTTTCACAGAAGGAATTTGGTGCATTCGTGATCAGTATGGTAAGCAATCTTTTCCTTTTAAGAGTAAGAAAATTTATGTACATTATGCTCTAATTTTCATTTCTTTTCACTAAAACTTATAAACTTTGTGACTGCAATGATATTCTTTAAAACTTTCTTTTTAGCTCACAAGAAGCACATTTTTTCTAATGAAACTGTATTTTAATCTGGTAATTTAAAGAACATTGTTTAATGTAAAACTGAATATTTCACAACTATTTATGTAGTTAAATTCTTGAAATGTAATAATTACTTAGATGGCTACGCCCACAATTTCCAAAAGTCAAAAATAGCATTGGGGATTTTAAAATCATTTGGCAATTAATGAAGAAAACAAATAATAAAGCAGTTTAGAATTTTTTTGTTGAATTGAGAATTGAGCCATTTAGAATTTTGTTTGCTACACCATTAAAACTTTAATTTATATTAACCCCTTGAGAACTAGCACGCGGAGAACGAAAACGCAGGCACGGGACCCAACCCCCCAGAAATAGAGCGTCACCACCGGCCCATGCATTTTCAGCATTTTTATATAATGACTTCAATTTTTAAAGTTAGGTACCTAATATACTAATTATTAATATGTATTAATATAAATATCACATTAAGAGAAGTAAATGAAACATGTGAAATAATAAAATTATAAATATAAGCATGAAAACAAATACTATACACATGAAAACAAAATTACAAATACAAAATGTAAAAGAAGATTAAGCAAAAATCTGTAGGTAATTAAATTCTAATTTAATAATCCTGCTGTCTGTGGAATAATTCAAAATGAGAATCAACACACAAGACAATGACGGCTTTTTTTGCGAGCAAGTAAGATGCATCACGCATCAAGATAGCTGATATCTTTCCTCTTGTGTTATAATGCTGTAAAGTTACTTTTTAATTAATCAAGAAAGTCTATGTTAAGTTTTAAAATAAATATAAAAAAGGACAACTGGTCTGAGTTTTTCCATTACAGAAGTTCGGCAACATTACACCTGCCATAGTCAGCTAGACATGCCTTCCCATGTTCTCGTAAGAAAATAAATAAATTAATTAAATTAAAATTAAAAAAAAAGAAAGCTTTCAGATTTTATATTATATCTAAAGAGCATTTTTTTTTTAACCTTTTGTGTCTTATCTTTACTTATTAAACGTTCTTTGCACTTAAACCATAAACTTCAATTCAACAGCAATATCGCAAAATAATTTTAAAATGAGCATATCTTTAGAATTTCTGATAAACTGTCTGCACAGTGGAGATCAATTTTTTTGCCCCCCCCCTTGTTTCAACCCTTAAAGGAAGCATTACGGGGAAGATTTGAAAGTGATGAAGGCGTCATTGCTGCGGTGCAGGTTACAAATGCAAACAAAAACTTTTTTTCTGACGGGATAAAAAAAAAAAAAAAAAAAAAAAAAAACCTGTGAAACAATGGGAAAAGTGCATTGAAGTACAGGGAGGTTACTTCAAAAAATAAGGTATGTTATGGTTTTCCATCATTAGAATAAGCACAGCTTTTCTCAATTATGCCTTTACTTTTTGAGTGTTTACCCCAGAAAAAAAAAATTATGACATCATTAAAATGTAAATTCAAAAGTTATAAAAAATTATATATTAAGAGATAAATATTTTTCAAATCACTTCTGATAACACAGTACCCAAGAAACATGAATTACAAAGAACAGAACTTTCAATTCATGGTTGTTTTATTCTTTCCTACATACAAATATGCACACTTATCAGAACATGATTTTATGCTGGCAATAACATTGTTAGTCACAGTGTGAGGAATTAAGTTCCACTTGTTCAGCAACATGGTTTTCAAAGCTTTACATCTGCAGGAGGATTATGTCTCTGTGCAAGGAAGGCAAATGCATTTACAAATTAAAAGTTTAATGTTTCAAAAAGGAAATTCAGCTACCATTTAAACCTTTTTCATGCCACATATGTAAATAAAGTCTTAAATATGAAACGTATGTTTAAATTTACTGTCTCCAGTAATTATGAATAAATATGCTTAAGTTTTAGTGGTGTATCTCGCAACCAAAAACAATTTGGGGAGGAAGGAAGAATAAGTAAATCAAAATAGTTTATTGAAAAGGCTTGACGTGAATTTACTGTCATAATAAAATGAAAAATAACTTATGAACCAAGGCTATTAATTCAAAATCGACTTCTGATATAAAAGTCCCCCCCCCCGAACGTGGAACGTCTTTTTTCAACATTGGCCACTCAGGCAGCCACCGTTACCTCCAATGAAGGGACGGACAGTAAGGCTGCTATCACACATCCGTTTGTTTCGGAAGAACTACTGCTTGGAACAATTTGTCTGCTTTCATAAGCCAAGCACCACAGATCGCTTTGGCATTAACAATGGGGAAACTGGTACTCCATTAAAAACAATCTGATAGCTGACTGGTTGAAAACGAACAACTTGCATTTTTTTTTTTTTTTTTTTTTTTTTTTTTTTTTTTTTTTTTTTTTTTTTTGAAAGGTAGGAAAAAATTGTGCGTCTTTCTTTCAATAGTAAGACAGGTAGAAAAATTGTCCAAAACAGTTGATCGTGTGAAACAAATGCATGTGTGGTATGGGCCTAACAACCATGCCTTCTCCGGGATTCGAACCTAGGCCCTTCAGTATCGCAGTCGGCTTCCCTAACCATTACACCCTCTGGGCAGCTTTGATATAAAAGTCAGCTTATGACTATCTAACAGTTCTCTTTTAACACAGGTGCATAACATGGAAGAAAGAGGTCTTTCAGTTCATGAACAGTTTACTAAGAATCTAAATCTGGCTTACCAATTGTTTTAAACACCTATTAAAGTACACACACTTTAATAATGAAAAAAAGAGATCTGACATAATATATTAAAAACTTACCAAGGAGCTTGGGAAGGCACAAATGATCCATAAAAGGAAGACAATAGATATATCTTTCATTTATATAATTTTGGCGATTCTGAGATGAAAATATTTTTACAGCAACAGACTGGTTGTATAGAGTCCCTCGAAATACATGGCCATATCGGCCCCTGCCGATACTTTCTGCAATCTTCAAACTGTCTAGATTAAATGTTGGAGATGGTGGCAGTGGAGGTTCCATTAGACAGACAGAATCAGGACTAGGTTTTGGGGAAGATGAACACATGTGGTACGCAAAACAGGCAGCAAGCATGATTATGACAGCTAATGAACACATGGTGGCAACAGCAATTATCACAGTCTGAGTGTCATATGAGGCATGTTCCACATATCTTGGAGCTACAAAAAGATACACATATTTTACACTCTGGAATGAACAGTGAGCTATTTTTCTATCTACAAATATTGTTAAAGAATGCTAAACCTTAAAATTAATATATACAAAATAATAATAAAGATAATTATTTAAAAATATTTATGACAACTTCAACACATTTTGAGAAAACAAATTACCTACTCTTTCTTTTTTTTAATGTAAGCAAAACTTTTTTTTTTTTTTTTTTTTAATATTATTCAGCATATGAAACAAACAATTGAGCATTAACACATGAATGTTAAAAAGAGGATTCATTTAGTGAATAAAGGTAATGTAAAAATATTTAAGCTTTAGATATGTAGTGTTTGAATACTCTAGAGTTATTATGAAGTATTATGTAAACGTTTTAATCAAAATGAATGTTTATACATTGTTCTCATGTATCTATAAATCTGCTGGTACTCTACATATCAAACTATTCATACATATGAAACTTTAAATCCTAAAAAGATTAAAGTTTTATTAATAAATAGTAACTGACCTTAGCATATAAAAGAAGATAATTATTATCCATTTATGAGATGAGTTCTGCACAATATAATTTTTCATAATTCAATCTTTATATTATTTCCTTAAGATCTCACTTTTACTACTAAACTTTACTTTTTATATGTAGTTACAGAGCATTAATTAAAGAAAAGTATTTCAGTGCTAACTAGCTTCAAAGGGATATTTACACATAGAACTTTCTAATCGAAATTAGTTCATATTCACTTTATGTATATCATATGCACCACTCAAACAGCCTATTTTCTTTTAATGAATTGAAAACAACGTTTAATCTTATCTGCTAAGTGAGTGGTAGCTTGGTTAGATCGACAGATTACTAAAAATAGGCACAACCTGAAGTGCAATAAAAAGGGTATAATTCTTAAAATAGAATGAAATGCAGAAAACATAATACAAATATCAATTTTATAAACAAAGAATGTATTCCTGAAAGAATTTTAAAAAATTGTAAAATTATGTGTTACAATTATGTATTAAATACTAAAATACTGTTTAAAGAATCTGCAATCATTCTAAAATTACAGAGATAGATCTTTTAATAACTTCTTTACACAGATTTTAGATAGGATGAAATTTAAAAAATTTGAAAATTTACGCTGTTGTGGAAATACATGAAAAGTTAGAAATTTACAGCTCTTAATCACTACTGATGGAATTAATCTTCCAACACACAATTAGAGTACAACTAATCCATTTACTCTAGAGAAGTTCATTATTATTATTACCATTTTTTTCCTTCCATTTATCACATTTAAATTACAAAAATTACAAGACCATATTTAAATACTACAGTATTTAAATACTATCTGGCTGAATGCATTAGTTGAATCAGAAGAATGGTAATATACTTGCAAGGCATTCATTATTCAAAGTAACCTCTCTCCATCAAAATACGTTTTCCAAAAGCTACTTTATCTACATCCAAAGGAAGATAGAGTCAAATCCCGAGTAGTGGAAGGACAGACTTAAAATCATAAAAATAAAATTTAACTAAGTTGGTGTATTGCAGTACAATAAAAAATTACCATCATGGACCATCAGTGCAAAACAAAACTGCTTACAGAAAATGCAAAAACGAAAATATAAACATGTAAGCTAACAGCACAGACAGCAGATGTCATAATATCCGAGTACAGTTTTATCTGCAACAATATGTAAATCAGCATGGAATAATTAAATATTGTTAACTTATCTGCTAAAACTAAACTGCTTTTAAATTTTAAAAATAAATCAAATGCACATCCATTGAATCTTATAACTGATTTAATTCACACAAGCAAATGAACTTAATTTCACAAAAATATAAGTAAATTGTGAATAGTACTTATGCGTTAATTATAATATGGGTATTAGTATTTCAGTATTTTTTAAACATCTTTTGGATTAAGCACAATTTTGATTTAACTATTGACACTGCCCTTGATATAATTCTGGTTAATCAGGAGTTGACTGTATCTCTTTTTGAACCACTATGTTGATGCTAGGAAATACTCAGGGCTAAATTTGGAATACACAGAGGTATAACAGCATATTCTATCAACTTATATGTAAGAAACCATTATTCTGTATATTACCAGCAAAACTTATTAAAGCTGGAATTTTCTCTCCATTAAAACCTCAACAATATCCCTCCAGCGTCCCAAAAAACAGCAAACTTATTTTGACACAGATTTTAAATAAAACTCCTATCAATGACCTCTCCATCGAAATATGTCTTCCCTAGCATTCAAGAAATTATTTTATCACAACTTCAATGAAGATACTGTCAACATGGGAAAATAAAGTTCCTTTTTTTGGTCAAAATATTTTTTGTCCAATGTTTAAATTTTACACTAGTTTGTCTCTCCATCATTAGAAAAATCCTTTGCTCCATATAGAGGAATTTTCTATCATCACTTTAGCAAGAACTATGCGCTGACAAGATCAAACTTCTACGGCATTACAGATAACAAGACAGTCATAATACCCAAGGTCTCACACTCAGCTACAACTATAACCACATGAAAAGTCCAATGGTATAATTTTAGTTTTAAAATGAAGGAGCACATAGCCTAAGTTACCATTTATTTATTTCGATTAAAAAAATTAATTATGACTATATGTAAGCATCAACATAGCTAGGTATGCTTACAAAAATTTACAACCAAATATATTGTTACTGCTTTTAAAAGTGTGAAAAATTTCATAGAAATTACATCTTCTTGCAGAAAATGATTAAAATATGTAATTAGGATTACAAAAAAAGAAGACACAATTGCAGCAGAATATTTATTAAATAGAAAAATAAAATAAAAACATGCACAAATTTCATGTCAAGCACATATACGAAAAGATACTTAAAAAACCCAAAATTTTCTCTCCCCGAATCAATAATTAATACTCCTCCTCAAAAAAAGGGGAGCATGGTAAAAATGCATAACTTACTTGCTTCATTTTCCTCAGAAGGTAAGAAGGATTCTGAAACGTTCACATTGCACATGTCCCCATAACAACAACAAAATTTTGTTGTTGTGTTGTTGTATTTTTTCTGAGGCTTCTTGGCACTTGCAATGCAAACACCTTCACTGCAATCAAACTCAGCTGCAGCCCAGCAACCTAATTAAAATAAAAAAAATCTGTTAAGTCACACATCATATACTATATGCATCAAAGTACACAAACAAAACCTAAAAATAAGAAATTTCAACATGGAGCAACACTTAGGATCCACTAAATTAATCCTTTCAACTCCTTCCTGTCCGTTCCATACGGAAAGAAAATATTTCTATATTTATCAATTTATTTACACTTTGCTTGTTTATCTGTGATTATGACAAAGCCTCAAGGGCTATCTACCTAAAGGGAGGGATGCCTTCATGGAGGACTTTCTAAAGGAAATTGTCTCGTATAAACAGTACACATGGGGAAAACCACAAAAATGCCCATGCAGGCAGCCCATTCGTGGAATTCGAACCTCGAACTGAATTACCGGTATTCAGTGATTTTACCACTCGGCTGCTGGTGAGACGTATTTACATTTTATATTGTGAAAGAAAATACTGAGAATCTTGGAACCATACATTTTATATCTTAAAAATAAAATTTTTCTGATATACTTCTATTCTCTTTTCTCAGATATGCATCCATTAAAGCAGGCAAGATAATCAGAGAACCAGAAGTAACTGCAGGCCATGCAGTCAAATAGTAAAATGACATCGAACATAGCAAGTGAATTTGGGGGGGGGGCGGAAACTGAGCAGCACAATATAAAATCTGCATATTGTGTGTAGTTATTTGGAAAATAAAACCTTAATGAGAAGAAAAATTTTATAATAGATGATATAAAATGGCATTTACTATTATAAAAATCATGGTAATCATTATTATTTTCATGATATGCATGAATTTTAAGATATTTGCTCTCTTTGCAAATATTATAAGTGGCAGCAATATAAGAAATTTTAGATGCATTTTTTGTCTTTGTAATTAAACAAGTTTGTTATTTTGAAAATAATCTTCTCCATTATATTTCAGTTAAATCATTAATTCATCAATAATCCATCATTAATTCAATCAGTGCCATTCGAATTCCAATAGACTACACAGCAACTGAAATGGGTGAGATTTTTGTCTTCTTTATTCAAAAAGGAACCAATTTTACTTCTAGTTCCCTATTTTTAGTGTTTTCAATATGTTATAATATCTTTTTGAAGAAATGTTATAATATCTTTTTGAAGAAATAGAGTAAGGTAAGCAGTCTAAATTTCATTTTCCCATTATTCATATTCAAAATTCGATAGAGACTTAACATAAAAGTACACAATAATCAGGAAGCCACTGAAACAATGGTGGATTGAATATTTAAAATAAGCAAGCATGTATCTTTATCAAGCTGCAATGGAAATAAGTGCAGGTGTAGTATATAAAGCTTGCATATACCACTTCAATATTTTTTTAATAATTAATGAACAACCTTCACATATATTACCACATTAAAATGAATTTTAATCCATGCTCAGGTAGCAGAAAAATTTTATACACATTGTTTGAATAGTTTCCATCTAATTAATAATTAAAAAAAATGAATTTCAGTAGTTACATAAATAGTGCTAACAATTTATACACCATTCTACACTTCATAAGCATTTATAAACAGAAAATTTACACTCACAACTATGTAGAGCAAGGGATTTATTGAATCTTATATATACCAGTAATTTAGATATACATTAATTCCTGCGTAAGGCTAAAATAGCAGATATAAAAAGATTTTACAATTAATGAACACATGGTTTACCTTGTGCAATAATAACAGTCTTATTTACATTATCTTCTTGCCATAGTGCATAGCAAGATTTTGTATTAGGGCATCTTTCAGTATGGTTTCCATCCAATAACTCCCCTGTTTTGATGGGCTCAAGTTCTTCATCAGTTGATGATTTCTCTGTGACAGAGACTTTGACAACAGACATTTTGGAATATGCACAGTATGTTTCATGGCCAAAAGTATAGCCTGAAAAAAAAAATTCGTTATAAATATAACCTATATTTTTTAAATCTAAATAGATACATATTAAAGAAAACACCCTTTAGATTCATTTTAAAATTCTCCTTACAGATGGGCATACCATTTTCATATATCAATGAAAGAATCAATGAATGCAAATAAATATTTTTTATGAGCTGCACCTAAACAAAAATGAATAGGCAGATAATTATTTCTTTAATATAAAATTACCGCTTAAGATCTGCAGCCCTCCTTTACCTACAACATAATGAAGCTCATGTGTTTTTGAACACTCTTAATATAATTTGTTTACACACGCACTCACAGCTAATGTATGATTAAGCAGGTCTATTATCCCCTGTTGATTTCTTTCATAAGCTCTACTTTCAGAACCTCCAGAGCAAAAAATTTAAGTGGGTTTAATTTACTCGATCACGATGGCTATTCCACTGAATGGCTATGTCCAAAAATATTAGTTCCAAATGTACCATTTTAAAAAAAACTGTATAGCCCTGTGGATTTAGTGATGCCAACTTTCGGTTAGTGGAAGTTAACTGAATAAAAAGGAAAGTAGTGGATTTTTAGGCAAAAATTCTCACCCCACTTAAAGGAACAGTGCAACCAAGTGTACACCCAACAACTTTGGCTTGGACTAGCAGTTTTCCTCTTCTCCGAGTTATCCATATGCACAACTGTCCCCGAAAGTCTTATCTCCTTCCTTTATTGGCACATTTGGCAATAACTTGCTAAACTTAACATAATAAAAAACAGCACTTCTTTCTTTGTTGGAGCAATCAAACAACGGTAAGTTACAGTCACACAGAGCCTGAACCAAAATGTTAGCAAATGTCTCCAAACTTGGCAGCTTTAGAGATTAATTGCCAAATCAGGCGACAATAATTAGTCACCAAGACCATCACCACCTTGGCATTCAATGTTACATGACCTGTAACCCTATTTTTCCAGTCATGCTCTACACCCTGAGCCTTTCACAAAGACATACAAGAAATGAAATTCAAAACCAGTAAAGTCCCAAAATTTCAAGATTTAGTACTTCCCTTTATCAAATTTAATTTTAACTTTAATTCATTTAAGAATAAAAGAATTTTTTGTACTATCAACCTTTTCATTAAAGTTTTGATGATCTCAACCTGCATAAGATCTTTAAACAAGCTTAACAAAAATTTCCAGCAATATAGTCTAAAATAATTGTCTTGTTTTATGTACAATAGAAAAGTAAGTGGTTACATTACCAACCATCATAAAGAAGATTTTTCTGCAACTTGATATTGTAGGAAAAAAGAAATATATCATAGTGTAGTATACACTTAATATTGTAGTGAAGGTCAGCTACTGTTTTCAGTGGACACGATGTATACTTGATAAACAGGGCAATCATTTTATTGCTAAATGAATTTCTGCAAGTTTTCTGACTTTCCGTGTGTTTTTCTAATATTTGGCAAATATCAGATTTCGAATAAGTTTGCAAATTTTGGATTATTTTGCAATTATTTATAATCTTTTATAATAAAAAATTGAATTATTATATCTTACTAGTATATAAAAAATATTATGCAAAATCATATTAAAATTCTCACAAAAATGCATCTACTAAATAATCCTATTCCAAAATTCAAACTAAAAGATTAAATAGGATAATTTAGCTTAAAATTTACTGAACATCTAGAGTAGGAGAAAACTTCATTTCCCGGAGACTCATAAGACACTTTTTATTGCTTATCAATGCCCAAGAACAATTTCGAATGCTGAGCAATTCTTTTTTAATTGTGCTACTTAATGAAGAAAATTAAAGTATGTATAGCATAAAATTAAAGTACCTACTATATAAACAAAAATCCAATAAAATTGTGATCTATAACTGTAATAACAGTGCTGAATACGTTAAAAGAATCTGATGAATTTATAAAATTAAATTACAAATAAAAAGTGCAAAAAATTTTGCTTATTTATATTATAATCATAGGGAGAATTTGTTAAGTTCACTCATGGTGCATGTCATTAGGGTCAAAAATTCGTCATTGACTTTTAAACTACATACATTCTGATCAGCTATCCAGTTTAAATTTCGTACCCACTTTGCTAGTAGATGACAATACAATGTAATGAAGTGATTTTTTTCAAAATTTAATTTATAATTTTAATTAAATTTAATACTGAAATGATTTTTTATGCAACTAAAAAATCTGACAAATTTACCTTTTACACACCATCATGCGGAGTGGGGTCTCTTTAACATTATCCCTGTATAAAATGTTTAACATCATATCTGATTTTTCATAAATTGATCATTTTTTCAACAACTTAAAGTTTATTATTTTAAAACTTCAATATCTAAAAATGTATCGATTATAAAGTTTTGAAGCTTTCGCAGCTTAACAAGATGTTTGTTTTCTTTTCTTTTAATATAACAATGATAAAATGACATTAACTAGAAAATTTTCTATCTATCCATGTTTCTTTCTTTCTTTTTTTTTTTTAATATGCTACAATGTTAAACAGAATATGGAGTATTATTTCTTCAGTCTCAAGGTTATGATGTCATTGTATACCCTATTTTTCTCACTTCTGTTTGGAAGCAAAACAGTGACAATTCATTGTTGAAAATCGATTTTTTAATTGAATAATTAGACTGATAATGTGACATTGAGATTAAAATGATTAAATATATATACATATATATACAGTACAAAGTCTTTACTCCGTACTCATCAGGACTTCTGTGATTCCGGATTAGGGATTTTTCCGGATTATAGATCATCAATTTAAATCTGGTAAGATGGCATGCAGAAATTATAAAATTAAAAATATGAAACTGTAATTTATGAAATAAAGAGCAATTATGACCTAAAGGGTACTAAAATTTTCAAAAAAAAAAAAAAAAAAAAAAAAAAAAGCTTAATATTTATTTGTTTATTTTATTAAACATTTCTTTCAACGTAAGTAGTTTAAGTTGCTTCGTTTTATGTGCTAATACTTTCTCTTGAATTCTATAAACAGACATAATTTCTTGTTCAGTTACAAAGTTCCGCTGTTCCAAGTCCTGTAATTGCTGTCCCGAGAATACCGACTAACATGTCTATCGAAATTTTTTCGTTTTCACTATATTGTCACTCTCTGTCACTTTCTTCATGCCTTTATCCATTTTTTGCAGCAATTCCCCTTTTTGTTTGATGGACATCGAAACATGCTTTCGCTTTGTAGATCCTTTGGCAGCTCCATAACCAGAAACTCTTTTTGACATAATCGAAAGTTCAAGCTTACTTTTTATAAAATTGTTCTAACAGTCTGCAAAAAATGATAAGCCTGATCCAATTAGAAGATTAAGGAACAACACAATCTGCAACATTAACTGAAATAGATAATTTTAGCCTTGCTTATACCGTCCGTTACATATTAAACGCACATGTGTAAACATATTTATGAGCATACGTAAAACATATTATGCGTAAACGCTACGCATGCGCAGAAAGTTTGTAGCTTTGAGGTCCAGATTATAGATCATTCTGGATTATGGACGTCCGGATTAAAGACTTTGTACTGTATTCATTTTGTAGAGACATTAGGTACTTTTTGAAAACTGGAGAGATGAAAAATGAATAATGCCTTCGCCGGGACTCTAACTATCGACCTCTCGAATATGTGTCGGGCAGGCTGACCACTACACCGCAAAAGCATGCTAACAAGGTGGGAGAAATACGTTACATACTTCAGCTTTTAAAGGGCAATTGGGGATCAGGGGACCCAATCGCCAAATCCTTGTGATGGAGAATCATCATCCACCAACTTTTTTAGTTTCACTGTACAGACATTAGGTTATTTTTAAACAGGAGACATGAAAAATGAGGAATGCCCTCACCGGGACTTGAACCACATACCTCTCGAATACGCGACAAGCGTGCTGACCACTACACCACTATGGCATGCTAAGAAGGTGGAAGAAATACCTTACAATCTTTACATTTTGTATTTCAAAAAAATTATTCTTGATTGTGATAATTAAAATAATTTAACTAATTAATTTAAATTAAATCTTAGCTGCGTTAACACTAGATTATTGTTTTGAAACTCTATTTTAACTCAGTTTTGTACAATTCATTATTTTAAATATTATATTATATATGCATATATTTTAGTTTTGATGAAAAATAATTTATCACATAATTTAATGGCAATAACAGATTAAATAATTTTCTTTACAAAATTCACAGACTATTTTATATCATGAAATAATAAAAGCGTAGAGACTTAAATACTGAAATCTATAAATTGAAATGCACTGATAAAAGTATAAGACATTATCTTCATATATTAGGGGCACCCCATGATTTTTTTATTCATGATATAAAATAGTAGATGAATTTTGTAAAGATAATTATTTCATCTCTTGTTCCCATTAAGCTACGTAATTTTTCTTCTTCTTTTAGTTCATTAATTATTTTATGATTTTTTAATAAAAGCTTACTTTATGAAAACTTAAAAAGAAAAAAAAGAAAAACTATTTTATTAGTGTTACCGCTTGCGTTTCTGGTATACACCTCTATATCCAAAATTACGCATGTTAATCCTAAGATTCGGAATTCTTACTACTTATCCAGCGAATTTTGCCTCTTTTTGACCTGCTTATGCCTCTTTTTGACCTGCTTGACTTTTTGACCTTGGCACTTAATAAATAAATAAATAAGAAAAGAAAATCTGAAAGGTTTCAGATTTTAAATTACGTCCAAAGGAGCGTTTTTTTAACATTTTATATGTAAATTTTATTTATTTAATATCATGTTCTTCGCACTTAAACTATAAAATTCAGTTCAAGAGCAATATTGCAAAATAATTTTAAGCATATCTTCAGAATTTCCATACACAGTCTTACGCGCTAGAGATAAAAACGTTTTTTCTGTACAACATTGCCATTGCTTGAATTTGTTAATCAAAAACTCGTTAAAGTTTTACAAAATATGAAATCGATAATAAAACAAATTTCAAATTTA